AAAGTGAGAAACCTTGGGGAGAACTAGGGAGACCCACAGGGAGGGAGACCCATATGAGAAAGGGATCCGCTCCTCCGGACGGACAGGCTAATGATCCAGGACCTAAGCTAGCTACAGGACGTGGACCAGTGGCCGCTGAACGTGGACAGGTCCGGTGCAGGACTGAAGCACTCCCAGGCGGGTCAGGCGGGGCAGTCCGCAGGTGTAGATGGAGGAGGCCAGGCTCAGAGATCCCGTCATCGTACCATGAAACAGACAATGGGACAACGGGTGAATAGCAATGAACAAACTACAGTAAGAATCCTAAAAATGCTAAACAGATAAAGTAGGAAGGAGGAGAGGATAGTGCTCAAGTTACCATACTTCTCCCAGCAAACTGACTCCCTATGCAGCTTGACTGACAGTCTGAGGAGTTTAACCTTCTCCGAGTCTTACCTTCCTAGCCATATGCTAAACTAAAGAGGACTGTTTTAAACCTAGCCTTGAATAAAGAGATTCATGGATTGCACACCAGGTGTGCCAAACCGATCCAAGCAAACCTAATTATATATTATATATCATATACATCATATATACCATACATACCATACATATTATATATAATACATAACATAACATACAGCATAATATATAACATAATATACAACATAACACAATACATAACATAATACATTATTGAATAATATATAACATAATAAATAACATAATACAGCATATATATATAATATATACACTACATATTATATATTACCTAATTATATGCTAAATTAAAGTAGAGTGCTTTAAGCCTGGCCTTGAATGTGGAGACCGTATCTGCTTCCTTAACATAAATGAAGCTGATTCCACAGTAAAGGAGCTTGGAGCTAAATGCTCTGCCGCCAACAGTGACCTTTGAGACCTTAGGAACCACCAGACGTCTGGCGTTTTGTGAGCGCAACGCTCGACCTGGTTGATACGACACTAACGTGTCTTGGAGATAAGAGGGAGCCAAGCCATTTATGGCTTTATATGTTAAGAGAAGGATTTTAAACTTTATTCTGTACTCCACAGGGAGCCAGTGGAGTGATTTTAACACCGGAGTTATGTGCTCCCTCCTTTTGGTACCTGTTAAGATCCTAGCTGCTGTATTCTGAACGAGCTGGAAGCTCTTCAAAGAGGCTTTAGGGCACGCTGCCAGTAGAGCGTTACAGTAGTCGAGTCTTGAGGTGACAAACGCGTGAATGAGTTTTTCCGCGTCACTTTTAGGAAGGAAATTCCTAATTTTAGCGATGTTCCGTAAGTGGAAGTACGCCGTTTTAGTTGCTTGGTTTATATAAGCCTTGAAGGAGAGTTCTTGGTCAAAAATGACTCCAAGATTCCTCACAGTGTTACTGGGTATTATACTGACATTATCAGAGTAATTATCTGGTTAGTGAGGGAGTCACGCAGGCGCTTCGGACCGAGTAGGATCACTTCTGTCTTCTCCGGGTTGAGAAGTAGGAAGTTAAGAGTCATCCACATTTTAAGGTCCTTTATGCAGGCACTGAGCTTTTCTAGCTGATCTGTCTGATTAGGCTTCATCGACAGATAAAGCTGTGTGTCATCTGCAGCAGTGGAAATTAATTCCATGCTTTTTAATAATGTTTCCTAACGGCAGCATGTAGAGAGTAAAAAGAATCGGTCCGAGTACCGAACCCTGCGGCACACCGAATTCCACTCCAGAATAAGGCGACGAGTCCTGATTCACATTGACGAAGTGATATCGATCTGATAAATAGGATTTAAACCAGCCAAGGGCTGTTCCTCTAAGACCTATATCACATTCTAGCCTCTGCAGTAGAATGCTGTGGTCTATTGTGTCAAATGCAGCACTAAGGTCCAGTAGGACCAGCACTGACACTTGTCCATTATCAGCAGCTAGTAGTAAGTCATTTGTGACTTTGACTAGTGCCGTTTCAGTGCTATGATGAGCTCTGAATCCTGATTGAAAGACTTCAAACATATCATTTTCCTGCAGGTGGCAGCGAAGCTGCTCAGCTATAAGTTTTTCCAGGATTTTAGATATAAAAGTGAGGTTTGAGATCGGTCTGTAGTTTGTAAGTATTTCTGGGTCCAGGTTTGTTTTCTTCAGAAGGGGTTTGATAACCGCGGTTTTAAAAGCTTGTGGGACATAGCCACATTGTATGGATGCGTTTATTATATTTACGATAGGCTCAATTATCAAAGGAAGTATGTCTTTGAAGAGCCATGTCGGGACTGCGTCTAACATGCAAGTTGAGGCTTTTTGAGATCACCTCTGCTTGGCTCACAGCCATGAATTTATCGAGGCCCACTGAAGAGTCTAAGTGGGAAACAGACTTTGAAACGGATCAAACGGACTTTCAAGCTGCAACCACCTCCTCCCCACCTCTCTGTCCCTGTGAGTCATTTAAGCACAGGGGTGATGTGCTCTCTCTGTCCCTGTGAGTCATTTAAGCACAGGGGTGATGTGCTTTCTCTGTCCCTGTGAGCCAGTGAAGTGATGTGCTCTCTCTGTCCCTGTGAGTCAGTGAAGCACAGGGGTGATGTGCTCTCTCTGTCCCTGTGAGTCCGTGAAGTGATTTGTTCTCTCTGTCCATGTGAGCCAGTGAAGCACAGGGGTGATGTGCTCTCTCTGTCCCTGTGAGTCATTGAAGCACAGGGGTGATGTGCTCTCTCTGTCCCTGTGAGCCAGTGAAGTGATTTGTTCTCTCTGTCCCTGTGAGTCAGTGAATTGATGTGCTCTCTCTGTCCTTATGAGTCAGTGAAGAACAGGGGTGATGTGCTCTCTCTGTCCCTGTGAGCCAGTGAAGAACAGGGGTGATATGCTCTCTCTGTCCCTGTGAGTCAGTGAAGTGATGTGCTCTCTCTGTCCCTGTGAGTCAGTGAAGCACAGGGGTGATGTGCTCTCTCTGTCCCTGTGAGCCAGTGAAGTAATGTGCTCTCTATGTCCCTGTGAGTCAGTGAATTGATGTGCTCTCTCTGTCCTTATGAGTCAGTGAAGAACAGGGGTGATGTGCTCTCTCTGTCCCTGTGAGCCAGTGAAGAACAGGGGTGATATGCTCTCTCTGTCCCTGTGAGTCAGTGAAGCACAGGGGTGATGTGTTCTTTCTGTCCCTGTGAGTCATTTAAGCACAGGGGTGATGTGCTCTCTCTGTCCCTGTGAGTCCGTGAAGTGATGTCTCTCTCTGTCCCTGTGAGTCATTTAACCACAGGGGTGATGTGCTCTCTCTGTCCCTGTGAGTCATTGAAGCACAGGGGTGATGTGCTCTTCTCTATCCCTGTAAGTCATTTTAGCACAGGGGTGATGTGCTCTCTTGTCCCTGTGATTCATTTAAGCACAGGGGTGATGTGCTTTCTCTGTCCCTGTGAGCCAGTGAAGTGATGTGCTCTCTCTGTCCCTGCGAGCCAGTGAAGTGATGTGCTCTCTCTGTCCCTGTGAGTCAGTGAAGTGATGTGCTCTCTCTGTCCCTGTGAGTCAGTGAAGCACAGGGGTGATGTGCTCTCTCTGTCCCTGTGAGCCAGTGAAGCACAGGGGTGATGTGCTCTCTCTGTCCCTGTGAGTCATTTAACTACAGGGGTGATGTGCTCTCTCTGTCCCTGTGAGTCCATGAAGTGATGTGTTCTCTCTGTCCCTATGAGTCATTTAAGCACAGGGGTGATGTGCTCTCTCTGTCCCTGTGAGTCATTTAAGCACAGGGGTGATGTGCTCTCTCTGTCCCTGTGAGTCAGTGAAGCACAGGGGTGATGTGCTCTCTCTGTCCCTGTGAGCCAGTGAAGTGATGTGCTCTCTCTGTCCCTGTGAGTCAGTGAAGCACAGGGGTGATGTGCTCTCTCTGTCCCTGTGAGCCAGTAAAGTGATGTGCTCTCTCTGTCCCTGTGAGTCATTTAAGTACAGGGGTGATGTGCTCTCTCTGTCCCTGTGAGCCAGTGAAGTGATGTGCTCTCTCTGTCCCTGTGAGTTAGTGAAGCACAGGGGTCATGTGCTCTCTCTGTCCCTGTGAGTCAGTGAAGTGATGTGTTCTCTCTGCCCCTGTGAGCCAGTGAAGTGATGTGCTCTCTCTGTCCCTGTGAGCCAGTGAAGCACAGGGGTGATGTGCTCTCTCTGTCCCTGTGAGCCAGTGAAGCACAGGGGTGATGTGCTCTCTCTGTCCCTGTGAGCCAGTGAAGAGAGGGGCTCTCTCTGTCCCTGTGAGTCAGTGAAGCACAGGGGTGATGTGCTCTCTCTGTCCCTGTGAGCCAGTAAAGTGATGTGCTCTCTCTGTCCCTGTGAGTCAGTGAAGCACAGGGGTGATGTGCTCTCTCTGTCCCTGTGAGTCAGTGAAGCACAGGGGTGATGTGCTCTCTCTGTCCCTGTGAGCCAGTGAAGTGATGTGCTCTCTCTGTCCCTGTGAGTCAGTGAAGCACAGGGGTGATGTGCTCTCTCTGTCCCTGTGAGTCATTTAAGCACAGGGGTGATGTGCTTTCTCTGTCCCTGTGAGCCAGTGAAGTGATGTGCTCTCTCTGTCCCTGTGAGTCAGTGAAGCACAGGGGTGATGTGCTCTCTCTGTCCCTGTGAGTCCGTGAAGTGATTTGTTCTCTCTGTCCATGTGAGCCAGTGAAGCACAGGGGTGATGTGCTCTCTCTGTCCCTGTGAGTCATTGAAGCACAGGGGTGATGTGCTCTCTCTGTCCCTGTGAGCCAGTGAAGTGATTTGTTCTCTCTGTCCCTGTGAGTCAGTGAATTGATGTGCTCTCTCTGTCCTTATGAGTCAGTGAAGAACAGGGGTGATGTGCTCTCTCTGTCCCTGTGAGCCAGTGAAGAACAGGGGTGATATGCTCTCTCTGTCCCTGTGAGTCAGTGAAGTGATGTGCTCTCTCTGTCCCTGTGAGTCAGTGAAGCACAGGGGTGATGTGCTCTCTCTGTCCCTGTGAGCCAGTGAAGTAATGTGCTCTCTATGTCCCTGTGAGTCAGTGAATTGATGTGCTCTCTCTGTCCTTATGAGTCAGTGAAGAACAGGGGTGATGTGCTCTCTCTGTCCCTGTGAGCCAGTGAAGAACAGGGGTGATGTGCTCTCTCTGTCCCTGTGAGTCATTTAAGCACAGGGGTGATGTGCTCTCTCTGTCCCTGTGAGTCCGTGAAGTGATGTGCTCTCTCTGTCCCTGTGAGTCATTTAACCACAGGGGTGATGTGCTCTCTCTGTCCCTGTGAGTCATTGAAGCACAGGGGTGATGTGCTCTCTCTATCCCTGTAAGTCATTTTAGCACAGGGGTGATGTGCTCTCTCTGTCCCTGTGATTCATTTAAGCACAGGGGTGATGTGCTTTCTCTGTCCCTGTGAGCCAGTGAAGTGATGTGCTCTCTCTGTCCCTGCGAGCCAGTGAAGTGATGTGCTCTCTCTGTCCCTGTGAGTCAGTGAAGTGATGTGCTCTCTCTGTCCCTGTGAGTCAGTGAAGCACAGGGGTGATGTGCTCTCTCTGTCCCTGTGAGCCAGTGAAGCACAGGGGTGATGTGCTCTCTCTGTCCCTGTGAGTCATTTAACTACAGGGGTGATGTGCTCTCTCTGTCCCTGTGAGTCCATGAAGTGATGTGTTCTCTCTGTCCCTATGAGTCATTTAAGCACAGGGGTGATGTGCTCTCTCTGTCCCTGTGAGTCATTTAAGCACAGGGGTGATGTGCTCTCTCTGTCCCTGTGAGTCAGTGAAGCACAGGGGTGATGTGCTCTCTCTGTCCCTGTGAGCCAGTGAAGTGATGTGCTCTCTCTGTCCCTGTGAGTCAGTGAAGCACAGGGGTGATGTGCTCTCTCTGTCCCTGTGAGCCAGTAAAGTGATGTGCTCTCTCTGTCCCTGTGAGTCATTTAAGTACAGGGGTGATGTGCTCTCTCTGTCCCTGTGAGCCAGTGAAGTGATGTGCTCTCTCTGTCCCTGTGAGTTAGTGAAGCACAGGGGTCATGTGCTCTCTCTGTCCCTGTGAGTCAGTGAAGTGATGTGTTCTCTCTGCCCCTGTGAGCCAGTGAAGTGATGTGCTCTCTCTGTCCCTGTGAGCCAGTGAAGCACAGGGGTGATGTGCTCTCTCTGTCCCTGTGAGCCAGTGAAGCACAGGGGTGATGTGCTCTCTCTGTCCCTGTGAGCCAGTGAAGAGAGGGGCTCTCTCTGTCCCTGTGAGTCAGTGAAGCACAGGGGTGATGTGCTCTCTCTGTCCCTGTGAGCCAGTAAAGTGATGTGCTCTCTCTGTCCCTGTGAGTCAGTGAAGCACAGGGGTGATGTGCTCTCTCTGTCCCTGTGAGTCAGTGAAGCACAGGGGTGATGTGCTCTCTCTGTCCCTGTGAGCCAGTGAAGTGATGTGCTCTCTCTGTCCCTGTGAGTCAGTGAAGCACAGGGGTGATGTGCTCTCTCTGTCCCTGTGAGTCATTTAAGCACAGGGGTGATGTGCTCTCTCTGTCCCTGTGAGCCAGTGAAGTGATGTGCTCTCTCTGTCCCTGTGAGTTAGTGAAGCACAGGGGTGATGTGCTCTCTCTGTCCCTGTGAGTCAGTGAAGCACAGGGGTGATGTGTTCTTTCTGTCCCTGTGAGCCGGTGAAGCACAGGGGTAATGTGCTCTCTCTGTCCCTGTGAGTCAGTGAAGCACAGGGGTGATGTGCTCTCTCTGTCCCTGTGAGCCAGTGAAGCACAGGGGTGATGTGCTCTCTCTGTCCCTGTGAGTCAGTGAAGCACAGGGGTGATGTGCTCTCTCTGTCCCTGTGAGCCAGTGAAGCACAGGGGTGATGTGTTCTCTCTGTCCCTGTGAGCCAGTGAAGTGATGTGCTCTCTCTGTCCCTGTGAGCCAGTGAAGCACAGGGGTGATGTGCTCTCTCTGTCCCTGTGAGTCAGTGAAGCACAGGGGTGATGTGCTCTCTCTGTCCCTGTGAGTCAGTGAAGCACAGGGGTGATGTGCTCTCTCTGTCCCTGTGAGCCAGTGAAGCACAGGGGTGATGTGCTCTCTCTGTCCCTGTGAGCCAGTGAAGCACAGGGGTGATGTGCTCTCTCTGTCCCTGTGAGCCAGTGAAGCACAGGGGTGATGTGCTCTCTCTGTCCCTGTGAGCCAGTGAAGCACAGGGATGATGTGCTCTCTCTGTCCCTGTGAGCCAGTGAAGCACAGGGGTGATGTGCTCTCTCTGTCCCTGTGAGCCAGTGAAGCACAGGGGTGATGTGCTCTCTCTGTCCCTGTGAGCCAGTGAAGCACAGGGGTGATGTGTTCTCTCTGTCCCTGTGAGCCAGTGAAGCACAGGGGTGATGTGCTCTGTCCCTGTGAGCCAGTGAAGCACAGGGGTGATGTGCTCTGTCCCTGTGAGCCAGTGAAGCACAGGGGTGATGTGCTCTCTCTGTCCCTGTGAGCCAGTGAAGCACAGGGGTGATGTGCTCTCTCTGTCCCTGTGAGCCAGTGAAGCACAGGGGTGATGTGTTCTCTCTGTCCCTGTGAGCCAGTGAAGCACAGGGGTGATGTGCTCTCTCTGTCCCTGTGAGCCAGTGAAGCACAGGGGTGATGTTCTCTCTCTGTCCCTGTGAGTCAGTGAAGCACAGGGGTGATGTGCTCTCTCTGTCCCTGTGAGTCAGTGAAGCACAGGGGTGATGTGCTCTCTCTGTCCCTGTGAGCCAGTGAAGCACCAGGGGTCTCTCTCTGGAGCCAGTGAAGCACAGGGGTGATGTGCTCTCTCTGTCCCTGTGAGCCAGTCTTTGTCCCTGTATCAGTGAAGCACAGGGGTGATGTGCTCTCTCTGTGAGCCAGTGAAGCTCTCTCTCTCTGTCCCTGGTCTCTCTTGGGGTGATGTGCTCTTCTTTCTGGTCTCTCTGGTCTCTCTGGTCTCTCTGGTCTCTGGTCTCTCTTGTCTCTCTGGTCTCTCTTGTCTCTCTGGTCTCTCTGGTCTCTCTGGTCTCTCTGGTCTCTGGTCTCTCTTGTCTCTCTGGTCTCTGGTCTCGTTTGTCTCTTTGATCTCTCTCTGGTCTCTCTGGTCTTTGGTATCCCTGGTCTCTCTGGTCTCTCTGGTCTCTCTGGTCTCTCTTGTCTCTCTTGTCTCTCTTGTCTCTCTGGTCTCTCTGGTCTCTCTGGTCTCTCTGGTCTCTCTGGTCTCTCTGGTCTCTGGTCTCTCTTGTCTCTCTGGTCTCTCTGGTCTCTCTGGTCTCTCTTGTCTCTCTGGTCTCTCTGGTCTCTCTGGTCTCTCTTGTCTCTCTGGTCTCTCTGGTCTCTCTGGTCTCTCTGGTCTCTGGTCTCTCTTGTCTCTCTGGTCTCTCTGGTCTCTCTGGTCTCTCTGGTCTCTCTGGTCTCTCTGGTCTCTCTGGTCTCTCTGGTCTCTGGTCTCTCTTGTCTCTCTTGTCTCTCTTGTCTCTCTGGTCTCTCTGGTCTCTCTGGTCTCTCTGGTCTCTCTGGTCTCTGGTCTCTCTTGTCTCTCTGGTCTCTCTGGTCTCTCTGGTCTCTCTTGTCTCTCTGGTCTCTCTGGTCTCTCTGGTCTCTCTGGTCTCTCTGGTCTCTCTGGTCTCTCTGGTCTCTCTGGTCTCTCTGGTCTCTGGTCTCTCTTGTCTCTCTGGTCTCTCTGGTCTCTGGTCTCTCTTGTCTCTCTTGTCTCTCTGGTCTCTCTGGTCTCTCTGGTCTTTGATATCCCTGGTCTCTCTGGTCTCTCTGGTCTCTCTGGTCTCTGGTCTCTCTTGTCTCTCTGGTCTCTCTGGTCTCTGGTCTCTCTTGTCTCTCTTGTCTCTCTGGTCTCTCTCTGGTCTCTCTGGTCTCTCTGGTCTTTGGTATCCCTGGTCTCTCTGGTCTCTCTTGTCTCTCTGGTCTCTCTGGTCTCTGGTCTCTCTTGTCTCTCTTGTCTCTCTGGTCTCTCTCTGGTCTCTCTGGTCTCTCTGGTCTTTGGTATCCCTGGTCTCTCTGGTCTCTCTTGTCTCTCTGGTCTCTCTGGTCTCTAGACTCAGACCCTGGACTCTGGACTGGGAGGGACTCACTCTTCCGTAGCAGGCCTAATCTAATCTGTATCACACTCTACTTCCTGTTTGTGTTGAGCCAATCACATCCCAGGATTCTACAGACAGCGACTTTTCTAAAGGCAGTGAAGAAACAAAGAATCCTACGTGTTATATGTCTGTAGCACGTCTGTAGCACGTCTGTAGCACGTCTGTAGCACGTCTGTAGCACGTCTGTAGCACGTCTGTATCATGTCTGTAACACGTCTGTAACACGTCTGTAGCAGTCCTAAATGAGTCACTTCCTGCTCATACTGTTCTTTTGCTAGCTAACTGTTAGCTAACATGTAAGTCTCGGTCTTTGGTTACGCTTCACTTCACACATTACACTTCACAATAATAATGATGACGGCCTTTCTGGTCCCCAGAAATCCAAAATGTTCAAAACAACTCGTCGTAGATTCATAAAGTGGCTGCACTTGTACCTGGTTTACAAGAGAAGTTGTTTTAGGCAATGTAATAAATCTGTGTGTGTGTGTGTATATATATATAATGTTGGTGTATGTATATACTGTATATGTGTTTCTATAAATATATTCGTCCCACAGGGGGAACATTTCAGTTCGATGCACACACATAAAGGCATGTAACGGACATTACTTACGGCTGCTCTCTGAGTGTGAGCATAGCCTTGATCTTTCAGTGGGGGCTTTGGGCAAAGTGGGGTTAAGTGTCTTGCCCAAGGACACAACGACAGCAGTCATCAGTGTAGTTGGTGGAGAAGGTCTCGTGGTGGGCTCGAACCCACGACCTGCAGGCTCTAAGGCCATTGCTCTACTATATATATAATGTGTATATATATATATATATATAATGTGTATATATATATATATATATATTGTGTATATATATATATATATATATATATATATATATATATATATATATATATATATATATGTGTGTGTACAGGTTTGATGCAGGTAAAGATAACTACATCGACCTGATGGAGCTGAAGCTGATGATGGAGAAGCTGGAGGCTCCTCAGACTCATCTGGGCCTGAAGAACATGATCAAAGAAGTGGACGAGGACCTGGACAACAGGCTGAGCTTCAGAGAGGTGCAGACACACACACACACATATACACACACATATATATACATATATACACACACACACATATATATATATATACAAATATATATATAGGGAAATGAGGATAATCTGAGCAAGTGCATACATGCAAAAGTCCCCAAACTAAACTGGGACTTTAATTGAGTTTGAGTCAAAGCATGCCGCCAAAGAAAAGTACTCCGACACCGGAGGACTTGGAGGACATCAGAGCCTCCCTCGAGTCCGTACGCGGAGACCTGACTGCCGTCAGAGCGCAGCAAGCACAGCTCCTTGGGCAACAGGAGCAGCTACTTGGGCTTCTGGAGGAGGTGAAACAACTGCGCCTCCTGAATGCTGAAAAGGACCGCCGTATCGCGGATCTCGAGCGGCGGGTCAACGACCTAGAGCAGTATCCCCGCATGAATAATGTGGTCATCACTGGCATTAAGATCAGACCGCGCTCCTGATCATAATTTCATCTCTGCTATTGCAAATGGTTGCAAATATTTTACTCAAGAAAAATATGTAAAAGATGTAGAACCACAAAGTAAGCTCTCAATTATACATTTCAATAGTAGAAGTATGTACACACATTTTGAGTCTATCAAGGAGTACTTGCAACACTTTTCTCAGTCATTCAGTATCATTGCACTGACTGAAACTTGGTTCAACGTGCAAAAGTATAGATTTCTGTCTGGAAGGCTATGAACTAGAATATATGAATAGAGAAAATAAATCAGGCGGTGGAGTAGCCTTATATATACACAAATATAATATTCTAACAAATATGACTTTGGTAAATGATGGAGTAATGGAGTGTTTGACAATAGAAATATATAATGAGAGAGTTGTGTATAGAACGCCTAGTTCAAGCATCGATCCTTTCAATGAGTGGATGGAAAAATAGTTTTCCAAAATAAATCAAAAAAATATCTTTGTTTGTGGAGATTTTAATATAGACCTGTTAAAATCCCACTGACCAGAAACATATTGATGACTTTATCGACACAATGCTTGTCTCTGTTTCCAACCATAACCAAACCCAGAATAACTTCACATAGTGCTGCAATTATCGATGACATCTTTACTAACATTATCAGAGGCTTATTTATTTGTGACATCACTGACCACTAACTGTTTATGCTCTGTATGACTACGATGTTAGCAGAACCAAAGACCATGTAGAAACAATCAATGATCTGAACAACAGTCTCGCAGAGAGCAGGAAAACAGTTTATAAATGTTGCTTATGATAACTTCCTCGACTTATTCCTCTCCTTGTACAACAAATACTGTCCTGTGGAACAACACTATTTAAAGAAAAAACACAAACAACGCCCTTGGCTTACAAAAGGAATACTAAATGCTCGTAAAAAGAAAAATAATCTCTATAAATTGTTCATCAAAGTAAAAACAAAAGAGGCAGAACAAATATATAAGACTTACAGGAACAAATTAACTGACATCATAAGAAGTAGCAAACAGTTGTATTATAAACAAAAGATTTATGAAAATACAAGCAATATAAGGGGATCATGGGATACACTGAATAGTTTAATTCAACAAGGATCGTCAAAGTCGTCATATCCTGATGACTGACGAGAATGGAGACAACTAAAATATGAACGACATAGTTCATAAATGTAATACTTTTTTTGTTAATGAAGGGCCTGAGTTAGCTGCTGAAATTCCACTGTCACTTTTCTGCTACAGATGAGCTGGAAGTTACTAACATCATATCAGAATGTAAAAGACATCTACTGTCATGATGTCAGCAGATGTTCAGAAGGTCGTGTTCAATATTGTAAAACCCCTAACTTATCTCTGCAACTTATCCTTCCAGTCTGGTTGTTTTCCACAAAAAATGAAAATTACAAAAGTAGTTCCACTCTTCAAAAATAATAACAAACACAGTTACACAAACTATAAACCAATCTCTTTATTGCCTCAATTTTCAAAAATTCTTGAAAAGCTTTTTAACCTTTGTCTTGAAAAGTTTCTGGAGAAACACCAGATATTACATGAAGGTCAATATGGTTTCAGAGCCAACAGAACCACATCAATGGCAATAATGGAAGCAACTGAGGAAATCACAAATGCCTTTGATCAAAAACAGTTTGCAGTGGGTATCTTTATAGATCTCAAAAAAGCCTTTGATACGATCCATCACTCGATTCTACTCAGTAAGGGCTCCGTGCTAGGACCTAAATTATTTAATGTGTATATAAATTACATTTTTTATGTATCTCAAGTACTAAAACTTATTATTTTTGCCGATGACACAAATATATTTTACTGTAGCAATAATTATGAGGAACTGGTAAATACTGTGAACAAGGAACTGAATATAATGAAAAAGTGGATGGACATGAATTATCCCTCAATATAGAAAAGACAAAACAATGATGTTCGGCAGCCTAAGATTTAATTCAGACACAGCCTAAGATTTAATTCAGACACAGCCTAAGATTTAATTCAGACACAGCCTAAGATTTAATTCAGACACAGCCTAAGATTTAATTCAGACACAAAAATCTTCATCGAAGGTATCAAAATTGAAAACGTGAATGAAAATAAATTCTTGGGTATTATAATTGACAATAAATTGTCCTGGAAACCCCACGTCAGATACATAAAAGCTAAAATCTCCAAAAGCCTCTCAATTTTAAATAAAGTAAAACCATACCTCCATCTACTCCGTACATTATACTGTACGTTGGTACTCCCATACTTTAACTACTGAAGTGTGGGGAAACATGTACCAGAGTACTATTAACCCATTAGTCTTATTGCAGAAACCAGCAGTGCGTATCCTTCACAAAGTTGGGTTTCTAGATCACACTCATGAATTGTTTATCCAGTCTATATTACTAAAATTTAATGATCTTGTAAAATACAATACAACTATAATCCTGTATAAAGCTTTTAACAAATTATTACCTATTAATCTTCAACACTTTTTCTCAATTCGGGAAAAATTCCATCATCTGAGAGGATATGGATGGAGACTTCACACTACCTAAAATTCAAACTACTCGTAAAAGCTTTTGTGTATTTGTACGAGCAAAGGAAGGTTTCTCACCCATCATCTGTACTTCTTAGCAAGTTTTCCCGACGTTTCGTCCTCAACCTGGGGACTTCTTCAGGGAATGAATTCTCGGACCGCGCGTTGGAGATTTATAACCTATGGGTGTGGTAAGCCACACCCTAATCCTGATACTAACTCGTAAACAATCTCAGGTCTGCTTGATGTAGAAGGGAGCAGGTCTAACGACCCTGCTGAGGCTAACGACCCTAACTCATTAGCATGTCACAGACCTATTGTCTGCTGGCATGCTCAAGTGGAGTGCAGGTCTCACCCCTCCTAACTCATTAGCATGTCACTGACCTATTGTCTGCTGGGATGCTCAAGTGGAGTGCAGGTCTCACCCCTCCTAACTCATTAGCATGTCACTGACCTATTGTCTGCTGGGATGCTCAAGTGGAGTGCAGGTCTCACCCCTCCTAACTCATTAGCATGTCACAGACCTATTGTCTGCTGGGATGCTCAAGTGGAGTGCAGGTTTCACCCCTCCTAACTCATTAGCATGTCACTGACCTATTGTCTGCTGGGATGCTCAAGTGGAGTGCAGGTCTCACCCTCCTAACTCATTAGCATGTCACTGACCTATTGTCTGCTGGGATGCTCCAGTGGAGTGCAGGTCTCACCCCTCCTAACTCATTAGCATGTCACTGACCTTGTCCCAAGTTAGGGCGTTGTTTTTAGGATGTCGTCATAGATGCGAGGCAAAACAAATCTTAACCCTCCTCCTCTGTTAAGAGAAGGTTTTTGTTTCCTCACAAAAATGGCTTCTTTCACTCCTCTCTCAAACCAATTCTTCTCCCGAGCCAGAATTTTAACCTCTGTGTCATCCACCGTGTGGTTGGAGGCCTTGAGGTGGAGATGAACAGCCGACTGTGGCCCACTAGAGTTTTCTCTACGATGTTGGTAAAGTCGTTTCTGTAGAGTTTGTTTGGTTTCTCCAATATAGTGGTCAGTGCACTCCTCTTCACTACATTTAATTGAATACACCACATTGCTCTGTTTGTGTCTGGGTGTTTTGTCTTTGGGATGCACTAATTTCTGTCTTAACGTGTTGAAAGGTTTGAAATACACAGGGATTTTGTGTTGCCTAAAGATTCTTTGTAGTTTCTCTGAAACTCCCGCCACATACGGTAAGGACACCCCTCTCCTCCTACTTTCTTCTGTCTGTAGGACTGTGTCTCTGGCCTTTCTCGTCCTTTGGGCTTTAGTAAAAGACCACTTGGGGTAGCCACATCAGGAAAGTGCTCTCTGAACATGTTTGGTTTCTCTGTTCTTTCCCTCCGAGCTTGTGGGGACCTGGTGGGCTCGGTGTTGAAGCGTTCTAATGACCCCGAGTTTGTGTTGTAGCGGATGATTTGAATCAAAGGCCAAGTACTGGTCAGTGTGAGTGGACTTTCTGAAGACCTCAGTCTCTAATTGACCGTTCTCCAGTATGATGACCTTACAATCTAGAAAGGCCAGTTCACTCTCCTTAGCATCCTCGCGAGTGAAATTTATAAAAGGGTCCACCGAGTTAATGTGTTCTGAAAATGGTTCCACTTCCTGTTTCTTTAACTTAACCCATGTATCGTCTACATATCAAACCAATGGCTTGGCGCTGTCCCTTGGTACGAGCCCAGGGCTTGTTCCTCCAGTTTCTCCATATACAGATTGGCCACTATAGGAGAGACTGGGGAGCCCATCGCACAGCCATGAATCTGTCTAAAGAAGGTGCCTCTAAATTGGACCACGTCTAAATTGGAAATACACCACGTATTTCCAATTTAGAAATAAAATTAAACCTGCACTCCACTTGAGCATCCCAGCAGACAATAGGTCTGTGACATGCTAATGAGTTAGGGTCGTTAGCCTCAGCAGGGTCGTTAGACCTGCTCCCTTCTACATCAAGCAGACCTGAGATTGTTTACGAGTTAGTATCAGG